TTGTTTTATTGTTCCGAACCCCGAAATTCCGGTACTCGGGGCCATTACTCCGGAGACCCTCGGAACCTGCTGTGTTTTTGCTGCTTGTTTTTGTTTTTGTTTTGTTGTTGAGATGAGACACAAGCGCGCCTTCGCCCCTTGTGCTCACTCTCATCTATTTATAATAGCACCCATCAAAGCCTGACCAGGGAGTCAGTTGATAAGAAAATCTATCTACATTTCTCTTTCCAGAGCTCGCTCGGGCCTACCGATCTCACAGCAGTGTAGACCACCCTCTGTGATAGAGCGGTGACAGCAGTGTAACCTCTGTGGTAGACTACAAAGTCTACGAGCTACAGCAGCACCGCCACCTCCGCTGCTGCAGGACGCCACATTCTGTGAAGGGGTTGCCGATCTTGGCTGGGCCTGGGCCGGGGGCGGCGGGGGCGGCAGGGGCGGCAGGGGCAGCGGGGGCGACGGGGGCGGCGGGGGCGGCGGGGGCGGCGTTGCAGCAGTTCAGGGCCTGCACCGAAAATGCGTACACCACAAGGGTGCATACCCTGCTGAACACCCTGGGAATCGCCGTGGACATGAGGCGAAACGTTCAGCACCCCAGCCCGACGTTGAACCGGCGAAAAAATGTTTAGTGGACCAGAGCTTGCGGCGTCCAGAGTCGGACAAAGTCTGGAACCCTAAGCAAAGAAAGAGGACGTTTCTGCCCGGGTTTGTCTATTTACGCCACCGGTGGCGCAATTTCTTATATGCGCCACCGCTCTTATCTCCGCCCACAGAGCTTCAATTGGCACAAACTAAAAATTGTGGTGTAGCTATGACCCATAGCAATCATACAAGCCAACTTGAAGCAAAATCCATTCGGTCGTTGGAAAGTTATGCTCGAAAAAGGGGGCTCAGCGGCATCAAAAGGCGGGCACCAACCACATATTCCACCGTAACTCCGTGGCCAAAGCTCCAATCGACGTCAAACAAATTGCGCTGGTCGACGGACGTCCATAGCCATCGTTCAAGCCATCTGGGACGTCCATCCGACCAGTAGATGCCGAGATATGCCCTCCCACGGGGGTACAGTGCCACCGTAGGGCGGTGGCGCATATAAGCTTATATATATATATTTATATGCGCCCCCTTTTTCGAGCATAACTTTCCAACGACCGAATGGATTTTGCTTCAAGTTGGCTTGTATGATTACTATGGGTCATAGCTACACCACAATTTTTAGTTTGTGCCAATTGAAGCTCTGTGGGCGGAGATAAGAGCGGTGGCGCATATAAGAAATTGCGCCACCGGTGGCGTAAATAGACAAACCCTTTCTGCCCTGCCCGTGCGATGTATGCAAGGGCTCACACGCACACACACGTGGAGGATGGTGATGGTTAGCCTGTGCTGCCGGGTCGAGAAGAGCTGGACACATGTAAACAAAAGTAAATGTTTGCCTACCGGTTCGAAAGGCCGTTCGGTCAGTTAAGAGTGCACTTTCATTAGTTGTACGGCAGTCGCCCAGAATTTCGGATGGTAAAGGAAATTAACAAACGGCCCACGATTGAGACATCAGATACACCACGGCTGCCCAGGCGACGTGTGCGTGTGTGTGCTTTTATAATTAGCATCGACCGCGCTAACCGGCTGACCAATGAAACGACGTCAGTCTTAGTGCGGTTGAAAACACGTGTTGTGTGTGTGTGTGTGTTTTTATGTGTGTGTGTATTTATTATTAGCATCGATCGCACTAACCGGCTGACCAATTAAAAGGCGTCAGTGCCAGCGGGTAAAAATATGTGTGTTTTGATTATTAGCATCGACCGCGCTAACCTGCTGACCAATTGAAAGACGTCAGTGCCAGCGGGTAAAAATCAAGGTCCCTGGAAGGAGGCCAAAATTCGAAAAATGCGCAATGCGCTTGATGCGAATGCCAATACGACTCTCTCTACATGTTCCTTCACGAAGACACACATCTCAGCTACACAACAGATGCCCTCGCTCGAACTTAGGAAGCCACTGATGATGCAAAGAGCGGAGGACAGCTAAAGGAAGGGCTAATTCAAGCCCAGCCGAANCACATACACGGCCATAGCTCCACACATGCCCCGAACCTAGGAAGCCACTGATGCAAAGAGCGGAGGACAGCAAAAAAAAGGGCTAATTCAAGCCCAGCCGAAGCCAGGATATCGTGGTATGCTGCATCTCCCAA